TGGGAGGCACCATGTGGTTGTTGGGAATTGAACTCAGGACCTATGGAAGAGCAGCCAGTGCTCTTAAACGCTGAGCCATCTCTCCAGCCCTTTTTGTTGTTCTTGTTTTCAAGACAGAGTTTTCTCTGTGTAGCCCTGGTTGTCCTCACTCTGTAGACCAGTCTGCCCTCAAACTCAGAGATCCACCTGCCTCTGCCTCCTGAGTGCTAAGAGTAAATGTGTGTGCCACCACTGTCCGACTATATTTTCATTTTTTTAACATTTATTTGATTTTTTTGGTTCTGTGTATGTTTATATGTATATATGTAGCATGGGCTGACAAGAGCCCATGGAAATCTAAAGAAGGCATTAGAAATCCCTGGAACCAGAGTTACAAGCAGTTGGGGGTGGGGGGCAGAAGGGTTCTAGGAACTGAACATTCATATGAGTCTTAAAGCCAACTTAAAAATACAGTAACTTGGGCTGGAGAGATGGCTCAGAGGTTAAGAGCACTGCTTGCTCTTCCAGAGGTCCTGAGTTCAATTCCCAGCAACCACATGGTGGCTCACAATCATCTATAATAAGATCTAGTGTCTTCTTCTGGCATGCAAGTGTATATGCAGATAGAACATTGTATACATATTAAGTAAATAAAAAAAATATATATATATATATAAAAAATATATATAGTAACTTAGGCCGGGTGTGGTGGTGTATGCCTTTTATCCCAGCAGTCAGAGAGCCGATGCAGGTGGATCTCTGTGAGTTTGAAGCCAGCCTAGTCTCCAAGGGGAATCCCAGAACAGCCAGGGCTATTACACACACACACACACACACACACACACACACACACACACAACCTGTCTCAAAAACTATGTATTTCTTATATATTTTATTTATATATAAATATAACTCAAATAAAATTTATATATTTATGTATTACATTATAAATAAGTGTATATAAATATGAAATATATATATTATATATACATAATATACGGTATATTACTAAAAACCCAGGGATAGAGCCTGTAATCCCAGTATTCAAGACGAAGAAAGGAGAAGGATCACTACAAACTTGAGGCCAGCCTTATCTACATGAGAAACACTATTTTTTTTAATGTCAAATGTTAAAAATAGTATTTTTTAATTTTAAAAAGTTATGCTGGGGCTAGAGAGATGGCTCAAGAGGTTAAAAGCACTCACTGCTTGCTCTTCCGGAGGTCCTGAGTTCAATTCCTAGCAACCACATGGTGGCTCACAACCATCTATAATGAGATCTGGTGCCCTCTTCTGCAATCAGGTGTACATGCAGACAGAACATTGTGTACATAATAAAATAAATCTAAGAAAAAAGTTATGCTGGGCAGTGGTAGTACATGCCTTTACTCACAGCACTGAGGAGGCAGAGGTAGGTGGATCTCTGAGTTCTAGGCCAGCCTGGTCTACGAATGTAAGCTCTAGAACAGCCTAAGGGTATAATAAGAAAACCTGTCTCAAAAAAAAAAAAAAAAAAAAAAAAAAAAAGGGGGGGGGGGCAGGGGCTGAAGAGATGGCTCAGTGGCTAAGAGCACTATCTGTTCTTCTAGAGGTCCTGAGTTCAATTCCCAGCGACCACATGATAGCTCACAACCATCTTATGTGATCTGATGCCATCTTCTGGCATACAAGTATACATGCAGACAGAGTACTCATATACTTAAAAATGAATAAAAATTTTTTAAGTTATGTTACATGCTAGGCAGTGGTGGTGCATGCCTTTAATCTCCACTCTCAGGAGGCAGGCGGATAGATTCCAGTTCCAGGCCAGTCTGGTCTATAAGATAGCCAGGGCAGAAACCATGTCTCAAAAACAAAACAAAAACAGAAACAGGGGAAAAAAAAAAAAAAGGTAGAAGTTTGGAAAGATGCAATGTGAAAGCTGACATCTGAATGCTGTCATGAATATATGTAAGCCCAAGACTCAGGGAGGCACAATGAGGCAGATTCTGGGGACTTACTGGCAGTCAATCTAGCTAAAATCTAGAGTCCCAGGTTCAGGAAAAGACCTCCAAAAAAATTTAAAAAAATATAGTGAGGACAGTAGAAGACAACATTTAAATGTCAATATAGGCACACACAAAATAGACAAGGTGAACTAATCAAGAAAGATACTGTTGACTTCTGGCCTCCACATGCAATCATATACATATGTACACAAGCACAAATGTACAGAAAAAAGTTCTTTATGGAAGGCATTTATAATTAAGATAGATATTTTGTTTGTTTCAAATATGTATTTATTTATACATGAGCACTCTTTGCATGTATGATTGTATGACAGTAGAGAGCATCAGATCTCATTACAGATGGTTGTGAGCCACCATGTAGTTGCTGGAAATTAAACTCAAGACAGTGCTCTTAACTACTGAGCCATCTCTCTAGTCCCTGTTTGTTTTTTGAGACAGGGTTTCCTGGCTGTCCTGGAGCCCACTCTGTAGACCAGGCTGGCCGAGAACTCAGAGCTGCTTTCACTAGCCTGCCTCTGTCTCCCAAGTGCTGGAAATAAGGGATGCTCCACCACTGCCTGGCTGAGATATAGCACTGACACTGACTTAAGAAAGGAAAAGACATCAGTCACTCCAATCCTCAAATTATTCAGAATCCTAAGAAAGACTCTCCTCCACATACAATATATTATTTTACAAAACACTGTGCAACAGTCCATTTAGTAAGAAGAACTACGGTAGTAAGAGTGGCATACCACAGGTAGAAAGCACATATACAATAAATAAAAAAAAAAAAACACAAAAAAAAAACTCTTACCAGGAAAAAGTCACAAAAAATCCTAGATATCCTTACCACAAGATTTTGCTAAAAATGCAAAAAGTTTTGTTTGCTGAAAAGGCTCCTCTAAGATGTTGTAGGTATCTATCAAAACAGTTTAACAATTCTCTACACTTGAAAAATTAATTCCAGAGGCTAGAGAGATGGCTCAGCAGTTAAGAACACTTGCTGTTCTTGAAAGATTAGTACTCAGGATTAGCATCCTGCACCCACATAGTGGCTAACAAAAGTCTGTAACTTCAATTCCGGGGGATCCAATGCCCTTTTCTGGCCTCTGTGGCATTTATATGGTATACATTCATACATGTAAGTAGACACATACATAAAATTAAAAAATAAATCTTTAAATAACAATAAATTCTAGTTATCAATGGCTAACTGAAAGGGAAGTTTCTGCAGCATTCTCTCTTTCCTGTTTCCAAAGAAATTTAAAAAATATCAAGAACCAAGCAATGTGGCACACACCTTTAATCCCAGCTCTGGGGAAGCAGAGGTAAGTAGATCTCTTGAGTTAGAAGCCAGCCTGGTCTAAAATAAGTAAATGAATTTACTTTAAGTATATGTATTTATGTTTATAAACAAATATTTGGCTGGGTGTGACAGTGCATACCTTCAGTCCCAGCACTTGGGAGGTAGTTACGGACATAGATCTCCTAGTTGATGACAGCCTGGTCTCAGAACTGAGTGATCCACCTATCTCTGCCTCCCAAGTGCTGAGACTAAAGGGATAAAATCTTATTTAAATAGGTATTAATTTAGGGATATAAATCCCTGAAATAATAAGGCTGACCAGAACATATACATGTTAGATATACTTGCCAATACATATCAAACCTTTGAAACTTTTTTTAATTAGATGTTTTATTTCATGTGAGTTTTGCCTGCATGTATATCTGTGCATCATGTATGTGCTTGGTCCCAGGAGATCAGAAGAGAGCAGCAGATCCTCTGGAACTGGAGTTACAGACAGCCATGAGCTTCCACATGATACTGGGAACTGAACCAGATCCTCTGCAAGAGGAGCAAGTGCTCTTAACCACTGAGCTATCTCTCCAAACTTCCATTTCAAATCTTTTTAAACAAGCACATGAACAAAAGACAAGCCAAAAGAAAGTGAGTAAAGTAGTTCACACTTGAAATTCTGGCATTCATGAGGTTGAGGCAGAAAGACTACCACAAATTCCAGGCCACTCTAGGATACAATGTGAGAACCTATCTCAAAAAAGCAAATAAAATAAACCTATATAGCCTTTTCTCTAAGAGTGAAAATCATCAGAAAACGGACTGGAGAATTATTTACTTACTTTTCTTCAAAACAGTCTAAACACAGAGCCAAATAAAACCACATAAATTCTTCAGCAATATTCTAGGCCTTTCAGTTCAGCATATTTCACATTCTACATACAATTTTGCAACTCTCCTCCTATTCTACTGTACAAACAAATTTAAATGTTCAAAATGAATATATGGTAAACAATACTAATGATGGTGTCTCTGACTAAGAAGAAAAAAAATTTATTAAACTCCTATAGAGAAATCTTGAGAGGAAAGCAGAACTAAAAATCTTCAATCGCATGTTCAAGCTAATGCATCTAAACTTCAAAATTTTCTTTAGGCAACATGTCTCATTAATTCCTTCCAAAATATTAAGATATAGAACTTGATAAAGTTCTGCATCCAAATTGTCCTCAGTCACAACAATCCTCCAGACTTACAAAACTATTGACTTATTAAAATAAACATATTGTTAATTTTAAATACCCATAGCTTATTAAGTCCCCAGCTCAAAAACCACTAATACTAATAATACTAATAATAATTAACATTATTTTAGTCAAATAATACTAATACTAAAACATTAAATAAAACTATCCTTCCTTGGTTTGTTCCTAAAATTTACATTTTATGTAACTTATTCAATTAGACTTACTACAATGTCATTATTGCCAAGTTAAGAATCTTTGTCTCACTGTAATCCACAAAATCCTTTGATTTGCAGATTTGCAATGGTTCCACAAAAGTTTAGGTTGTAACTCCATTTCCAAACAAGACAAATTAAAATTCTAACTACCTGACAAAAAAAAAAAAAAAAAAATATGAGGTGAGACGTTAGTATGCCTTCACCCTTTCCTCTGGTACACATAAAAGCCATCTAAAATGATTACTTCCAAAAGGAGCAAACTGAAAATACTAACCAATCTCTGGCTGTACCGAATCCTTTCTTCTTCAGGTTCCATCTCTTACTCTTCTAATGGAAGTACTACAAAGAAACCACTCCAGAGCTGTCCTCCTCTTCCTCCTAAGGATCCAAATTGCAAAGGAAATGAACAGAATAAGAACTCATTCTCAAACTTCCTTCTCTTCTCATTAAGTTAAAGGCTCTCCGAAAACCCTTTAACCCTCTTGGGCAAATGGTGCCATGTCTTGTCAACATTAATCACATCACCACAACTACAGGAGGCCTAAGCAAAAGGAGATGTTGGTTTCAGTTCCTTAGAACCAGGCCACACCGTCTGTTTTCTGTCTATGTAATTGAAGTTAGTAAAACTCTTCCTGCCAACATTAGCAATAAACAAATAGAAGGAAAGAAAGACGGGACTAGAGACATGGTTCAGTGGTTAAGAGCTCTGGCTGCTTTTCAAGAGGACAGGAGTTCAATTCCCAGCACCCACATGGCAGCTCACAACTGTTTAGAACCCCAACTCCAGGGGATCCAACACCCTCACACAGACACACATGCCGGCAAAAGAACAATGCATATAAAAATAAATATTTTTTTTAAAAATGGAAAAGAAAAAAAAAAAAGGGAAAAAGGCCCTGGCCTTTCATTATTTCTGTGTGTGTTTTTCTTTTATTGTTGTTGTTGAGGAAGAGTCTCTCCACATAGCCCTGGTGTCTTGGAACTCACTTTGTAGACCAGGCTTGCCTCAAACTCACAAGGTATCCAACTGCCCTGTTTTCCCCGTGCTGGCATCAAAGGTGTGCAGCACCAAACCCAGCAAGGGTTTGTAAAGTGCTGAATGACCAGATTAAGTACGCACAAAACTAATGAAGATCCTAAGCAAATGAGTTCTCAAACAGGTAGTGACAAATTATGAATAGAAAGGGCAGGCTACTTTCATAAGATGAAGGCAAAAAAAAAAAAAAAAAAGACTCCAAAACCAATGCCCCATATCCTCCCAGTAAAGCTGCACACAATTGTCACCCTCCCAGAACTACCCTCCACCTCAACACAAGGTGTACAACTCTGAAACAAATTTGAGAGTTGCAATACGGAGGCAAAACCACCACCTTAATCTAGATGAGTGAGTAATAAGTGAAACGTCTCCATTAATGGATACGAGAGGAACATACATTAAATAGAGACCGGTTGGCGTGTCAGTCAATCCCGAACAACAAGGGTTTTCGCTTTTCTAAATATTCTTTCTCCTGGATAATGGCTTCCACTGGGAATGCAAATGTTTTTCTCTCTTGTAAATACATCACAGCCACGTTAACGGGATCCTTTCAGAAAGGACCCGATGACATAGTTTTCGAGAGCAGTTCGCGGCGCTGCCCTCCTCGGCCTGGGTCTCGAGGGACACAGTCTGCACCCCCCGGACGAGCGCCGCCAGGACCGGACAGGAAAGTGGCAGACCTCGACTGCTCCCCAGGGGAAAAGGCGTTTCTATAACTCACCCCCTTGCAAAGAAATAAAAACTTTACATCAAGTCTGTAGATAAGACAGGGAACCAAACTTCCCAGGGCGGGGGAGGGGGGAGGGGAAATCTCACCGGGGATTTTGTTCTTGAGTTCTTGTCCAAGTAAGATTCCAAAAACAGAAAAAAATACAACACCGAACGTCGTCTTCGGTTTTTCCGTGTATTAACCCAGTATCCAGGGGAGGGTCAGAGCGACCCGGAGAAAGAGGAAACAGTTACTGAATCAAGCCTCCTCTTCTGGCTTCACGGACTCCGAGTCCCAGGCGTCAGTCAGGAGAGCAAGACCACTTGGCGACTCCCCGGGGCTGGCGGTCAGCAGCCCCGGCCCAAGACCCGGGCCGAGCCGGCCGCGGAGAACACCCTCCTCTCGGTACCGCGGGCGGCCGCAGCCGCTTCGGAAGCCCGGAGCCGCGGCGATCAGCTGAGACCCGCCCGGCCGACGCTCCCCGCGCCGCCCGGCCCCCCGGAACGCGGGCCCCGGCCCCGGGGGGCGGAGAGGGCGGGAGCGGCGAGGCGCTCCGGCTGGGGGGCCCCGGCTGCCTCGGCGTCGTGCCCCGAGCCGGGGCTCCGCGCTGCGGGACGACCCCCCCGGCCCCCCCCCCCGGGTACTCCCCGGTCGCAGAGGAGGGACTCCGGGGGATGGGCCCCCTGACGTTGCCCTTCCACGCGGAGGCCCCCGCCCGGGAGAAAAACAGCCGCGACAGGCCCGGGAGCTGGAAAGGGGCTCCGCGGCCCGCCGCCGCCGCCGCCGCTGCCGGGGAGGGGTGTTGTTTCCCTCAAACAGGAGGATCCGCTGAAGCAGCCGCCGCCATTTTGAACCCGTCAGATTCTCACATACACACCGCTCCTCCGGGCTCACTGCGCAGGCGCCGCCTCGCCGCCGCCACCCCCTCCTCCCGCGGCCGCTCCACCCCCACCTCCTTCAAGCCTCCCTGCGCTCCTTACCGCTCTCCGGGGCGCACGCGAACGCGCACGCGTCCCTCCCCTCAAACGCCGACACTCCGCCGGCGCGCGCACGCGCGGACGCGTCGGCCTCGAATCGCCCGCGCCCCGCGACGCCGACGCGGTCCCCCGCCCTCCTCCCCCCCACCCCCCGCGCGTCAGCCCGCACGCCCTCCCGCCGGGCCCCCGCCCCCGCTCCCCGCCCGCCCGCCCGCCCGCCTCCTTCCAGGTCTCCGGCAGGGGACCGACGCCTGCGCCTGCGCGCAAGCCGCCGGCCTCCTCCGCGCGCTGCCTCCCCCCCCCACGCCCGCACTCTCAACGCACGCACTCAGCGCGCGTGCACGCACACACGCGCGCACAGGCACACACGGACACACACACACACAAACACACACACACACAGAACTTCGCCTGTGACCCCGCCCACCGCCGGCCGGCTGCGCCAGCCGCCCTCCCCCACCACTCTAAGGGAGGGCTGTGACCCCCGACCCCCACAAAACACCACCCCCCCCCCCCCCCGGCAGCGGGAAGCCCCCCCCCCCCCCCCTTCCCCTATGGCCAGCGCTGCCCCAGGCGGTCAGACAGTCACACAAGTGAGGGCCAAGCGGCCTGGGGCCGGGGCAGCCGTTGGCCGCCTCTACGCGGGGTCCCCCGGGGTCATGCCGTGGGAGTGGGCCCGGCCCGGGCGCCGCGCACGGGCCTGCTCACCCCGAGTGGGCGCAGGGCAGCGGCGCATCCCCGCTGGCGCCCTCCCTCGCGCGCCGGCCGCTGGGCCGAGGCCCACCTGCTCGCCATCCCGGAGTAGGCCCCGGCGCCCCCGCTGCAGGGCCTGGCCGCTCTCAGCACGGGGGGCTCCTCCGTGCAGCCAACCGGTTCCGCCTCACCCAGTCCTCGTCGCTCCGAAGGGGCAGGAAACGGGAGTGGTGGCATGTCTGTCCCGGGCTCTGCTCCCTCGGGGGGAGCTCCAGACGCTCGACAAGGGCGTCCACAGGTGCTGGGCTCGAGAGTGGGATCCACGACGGCTCGGGGGTGGCAGCGAGCAGCGCGCCCACCGCGGGCCGCGGGCTCCCGGGGAGGTGGCCCGGGAAGCCCCTGCTGTTGGCCACGCTCAGGTTTCCGTAGCGCCGGTGCCCTCGGCGGCCCGGGTGGGACGTGACCCCGCCCCCGGCGAGTCGGGGCACCCCCCCACGGAGAGGGGCGCGGGCCGCCCCTAACCCCAGGGCCGAGGCGTGCGCGGGAGGCCCGGCCGGGAAAATGTCTCCAGTCTGTGTGCGCAGCTTCGCGCGAGGGTCAGCGATGGGGCAGCGGCGGCCCAGGCTGCCCGCCACTGCCTACGAACGGACTCCCGCGGCTCGACAGCAGCCCGACGGGCCAGCCGGCTCCGGACGTCGACGGAGCCCAGCCAGAGGTAACAGCATTGCCATGCGAGCAGCCCAGCTGAGCTCAGGGCAGTTCCCCAGCCAATCTCGTGCTTTGAGGCCCGTTTAAATTGTAAATCCCACAAAGGACGGTGGCCTGGACGCTACACATCCAAGTGCTTGAGGTTGGCACTTTCCCCTGGCTGAGTGGTATCACACAAATCGTTTCTCCCTGCCTTGATTTCCAACTCTTCGGCTTGATCCTGAAGAGTCTGGAATGGAAGAGGAAAAAGAGCACGGTGGTGTGTCTATCAAATAACGTTCATAAACAGCCTTCTAGGTCTTTTAGGAAGACATTAGTGATCGACAGTTGGAAAACAGATACTTTCTTTTTCTCTCACAGTTTGAACTGGGGCAAAGACACTCCGTAAACCCCAAGTATTATTTACTACAGCACAAGTTTTGCTAAAGCACACGGGGTTTTTACATTCCCTGCTTTGTTTCACCTCCTTCGTAGACAAGCTTTGTGTTTCTAAACTCGTTTTAAAGCTAAACAATTGGACTATAAGATTAAGCCACGTGCAGAATTACTGGGAGAGGGGGCCACAATTCTGCGTCTGCCAACAGAAACGTCTCATAACAAAAATGATTGGTTAGTAAGGTCTCATCGTCTTGGAGCCAGCCAGTCAGTGAGCAAAGTCATTCTTTATCCTGATACCAGTTGCTTTTCACATTTAACTTTTTAGAGCACTGCTTCAAAGAGATAATCGTTGGAAATTCGACCAGATTTAGGGTCTCTTTCGGTGTTCCGGGTTATAGTAAACTACGTTTTAAAGCAGTGTTTTCACTCACACTTGCGAGGTAATCCTAGGGCTCCGGAGCTGCGGCAGGAGGATTCCCATAAATTAAAAGCCACCCTAGGTTAGATGATGAGTTCCAAGCCATCCTGGGCTAAGGAGTGCAACCCTCTCTCAACAAAAGGCAATAGTTTTTTTGTTTGTTTTGTTGTTGTTTTTGTTTTTTTACATCCAGTGCCAGGGCCCCAAAGACATCTGGCTTTCTGTAGCTACAAAACAAAAAGGTCTCACATGGTACATACACCTATAGTTCCTATACTGGGAGGCGAGGGATGAAGAAGGATCCTCAGTCCAAGGTACATAATGAGCCCAAGACCACCATGGGCTACATAATAAGACCCTGTCTCAGAGGAAGATAGGACCTCTAGCTGCAACTCAAATTTGTCTTGACCTTGTAGGGGCCATTTGCAAGTTTAATTCAAAATCAAGAATTAAACCAAGAAAGAAAACCATGGAAGACTCCAGACAAATTCAATTTATTTTGAACAGGACTACAAATAGAACAAGGTTTGCAAAACTGTATCCCAGCTCTTTCCAGTTGAAGACCACTTGTTAATTACTCTGCAGTAGGGGAATTGACTCAACAAATACACCCAATAGTGCCTCTACAGGCTGGCATTGTAACTATACCAAAGCAGATGTACAGGGTATAATAAGAGAAAGGCATGTGGCTAGTCATGTTCCTCCAAATCATAGTCGCTCTGATGGGCAGGAACAGATCTGTAAGGACTGTTTTGCCTTTAAAGAATTATTCCAGCACAAGGAGAGCAAAATATCTGGGCCCAGGGGTCTTTTCTGAGACTGATACTCCAACCAAGGGCCATGCATGGAGATAACCTAGAACCCCTGCACAGATGTAGCCCATGGCAGTTCAGTCTCCAAGTAGGTTCCTTAGTAAGGGGAAGCTGTCTCTGACATGAACTCAGTGGCAGGCTCTTTGATCACCTCCCCCTGATGGGGTGGGGGCAGCCTTACCAGGCCACAGAGTAAGACAAATGCAGCCAGTCCTGATGAGACATGATAGGCTAGGGTCAGAGGGAAAGGGAAAGGACCTCTGGGAGGGAGGGTGAGGTTGGGGGGGATGAGGGAGGGGACTACAGCTGGGATAGAAAGTGAATAAATTGTAATAAATAAAAAAATAAATTTTAAATAAATTAAAAAAGAATAATTATTCCAGAAAGGCTAGAACTGGGACAATTCCCCAAGAAGGCCACTAGACCGTTGAGCTATGTAGCTTCAACTTCTGCTAAAGGGAGAAGAGGCAAGTGGTTTATGGGGAGAGAGAGAAAAAAAAAATCCTAGAAGCCTAGAGAAAATGGTCCCTGTCTGGAGTAATATGGTATCTTGGTAAGCTGTAAATTAATTTCTGCGTTTTATGCTCACGTGTGTCAGTGTCTATGTCTGCATACATTCATAGAAAGTGTATATACATACACACATACAAACGTGTGAACCAATGTATGGAGGCAAAGTATTTAGGCTAGAAGGACAACCTTGGGTGTCTTTCCTCAGGCACCGCTCACCTCGTTCTCTTCATTTAAAGACAGAGTCGCCCACTGATCTGGAACGCTCAGGAAGACCAGCTGCCTAGCCAGGGAACCCTAAAGATATGCTTGTCTGTGCCTTTCCACCACTAAGATTGCAAGTGCTCACTCTGAACACCCATTTCCTGTTGAGTGAGTTCTGGGGATCAAACTCACGCCAACACTTTTGCAACTGGGCATCTCACCAGGCCTGTCCTGTTTCTATCTTTGGTGGTGGTGTTGTTTTTTTGTATTTTCGTTTTTTGAGATAAGGTTCCTCTGTGTAACACAACCCTGGCCGGCCTTGAACTCACAGAGATCTGCCTACCTCAACCTCCTCCTGCCTCCCAAGTGCTGGAACTAAAGGCATGAGCTACCTTACCCAGTTTCTATCATTTTTTTCCCCTCTCTTTGTTTTGTAGTCCCAGCTGATCAATACACTATAAACCACGCTTGGTGACCCTGCCTGTAATCCCAGCACAAAGGGAGGCAGAGGCAGGCAGATCTCTATGAGTTCAAGGACAGCCTGGTCCAAAAAGCAAATACAGGACAGCCAAGGCTACACAGAGAAACCCTGTGGGGGGGGGGGGGGGGGGGGGGCAACAACAACAAACAAAACCTTAAAAAACAACAAAAAGATAAACGCTGGTAAGAGCACGTACTGCAGTTCAGATGACATGACGTTCCTAGCACCACGTTGGCTAGCTCGCAACAACCTGTAACTACAGCTTCAAGGTATCCTGACACCCACCTTTGGCGTCTACCAGGACCTGCACACTCAGATACACATGCCGCCCACCATCCCAATACACAGAAGTATCTAGAGAATTTTTTTTTTATTTTTTTAAGATTAAAAAACAAATACACAGGCCAATCTCTTTGTGTGTTTGGGGCAGTGGAGGGGTTAAGGAGACAAAGGCTTCATTTTTAACTGCATTAAACTATGTCCAACTTATTTTTAAATGTTGAAGAGGAAACAAGGATGCCTCAAAAACCGTAGATCTGAACCAAACAAGAGAGTTAGTCTTAAGGATTCCCCAGGACGTAGCGTAATCATCAAGGGCTCAAGAGCTCTGACATCAGTGACAACACCACCAACTTGCTGCTTTCTCCTACTCCTTCCTAATGAGCTCTTCGAGGTCTCAGCTGTGAAATGAATAAGCTCTTAAGTTTAGTAATATTCTACAGAATAGCTAGAGTTTAAGACCTCTCTCATCTAGAGTTACCAAGGCTAGCCCCAAAAAAATCTTCCTGTCTCAGCTTCCTGAGCTACTAGGATAATAAGCATATGCTTTTGTTTGTTTGTTTGTTTTTGGTTGTTGTTACTGTTTTTCTGAGACAGAGTTTCCCCGGCTGTCCTGGACGCTCTCTGTAGA